TTCGCTTTCACAACGGAACACACAGCGCCTTCACGACATGGCAGCGGTGGCGGCAGCAACAATACTACAGTGAGAATAAAAGTTACGCCTTTTTTCTTTGCGTGAGCATTTGGGCGGCGTTATGCAAATCTTCCCAGATAGTGACGTAGATATGTGGGGGCGTGTTAGAACGAGCCGTTTTAGGTAGGTGTGGCTGACTCTTAACTTTTATAAAGAATAACTCTTTGGATTTGAGACTTTAGTCTTTGCAACTTTACAGATATTCTTTATGCACCAAGAGCTTGTAACACTCCAAAGAGAAAGGAAAAATTTTAATCGCATCATATGACCCCTTTAATACGTTTTTTTCTGTATTTTTGATCAAATAAATGCAGCCTTGATGAGCATAAGAAACTTATTTAAAAAAACACAAAAAATGTTACTGATCCTAAACTTTTGAACAGCAGTGTACAACACACACATACTGTATATGATATATTATTATAGTTTTTGTTAATATTTTGAATTCGATTCATTATATTTCCTATTTTCATTTACATTTTAGTTAAAGTTTTAGTAAATTTGTTTTATTTTTGTCCTTTTTATTTTATTATTTCTTATGTGTCTATATAGATTTTAAGTTTTAGTTTTTATTTTTAGTTATTTTTGTACTTCAACAAACTGTTGAGAATTAAAAATGTTTTAATATTGTATTACACTTATTGTTTTTTTAAGTATTAAATGTGTTTTTATGATTTCAGTTTTTTGAGTTTAATTGTAATAACCCTGATATATGTAATGTCTTTGATTCCAGGTACAGTCAGAAATCAAAAAGAAATGGCAGCGATGGAAACTGGGAATAAGCATTTTGGAGGACCAACGTAATTCAGGTAGCAACACACAGCAGGGAGGTGCAGGACCTCGGTGTCACCACGACCTAGCCTGCTCTCCAGACTGCCCTCTGGACAGTGGCAGCCAACTGTCCTCGGACCCAACACCCACAGCCACCCTACCAGCTATTCAACATCACTACCATCCCAGAGCAAAGAAAGGCAAGGCATGCTGCTACATCTCTGCCCGAAAGCAGGTTCTGAACGGGTTGGATGTGCCAGCTTCACCCCAGTGTGCCGGAGAGGGAGCAGTGATGTTTTCTGAGAGCTACTGTTGAATCATGTGGACTGTGCTGCACATTGATTGGACAAACAAAGCTGGATATCATGGAGTGTCTTGGAATATGAGGTCTCATTGTTTTTGAACTGTCAAAAGCATATTACTACATCACGTTACTCCCATTATGCCTGACAACCCATTTTATTTGTGTTTTTCTTGTTTGGTGTTTACCACTATACCTCATTTTGGACACTAGATGAATTCTATTATGTGCCAGCATTGTGGATCAACTCAAACTTTACCACAAAGTCATTTATATTTTTGATTGCATGAGGATTATCTGTTCAGAGTTCACAGGTAAGACACACAAACATCACCTAGCCTGCAAAATCACCAAATAGCTCCAAAAAGTATTTGCACCCTTAAACCACATATCCACTACCGTTCAAGAATCTGAGGTCAATAAGATTATTAAGCAAGAATGCATTAAATTAAACTAAAGTGACATGAAAGACTTTTACATTGTTAAAAGATTTCTATTTCAAATAAATGCCATTCTCTTGAACTTTCTATAAGAAGTAGGCACCAAATCAGCATATTAGAATGATTTCTGATGGCTCATGTATAACTGAAGACTGGCGTAATGGCTGCTGAAAATTCAGCTTTACCATCACAGGAATAAATAGCATTTTAAAATATATTCAAATATGAAAGTTATTTTAATTATAATCTTTTACAAATGTATTGCTTTTACTGTATTTTTGAATAAAAAATGCAGCCTTGGTGAGCATAAGAGACTTTGAAAACATTTTTGAATGGTAATTGCAGATGCCACTTAGTTTGATATTGTTATTTGCTGCATAGGCTTTTATTTTGTGCAGTTTAAGAGCCCAAACACTTTTTGGGGAGACTGTATATACATACAGTATAGGGACCAATAATGGACTTTGTTTTTGTCCATAAACAACAAATCAGTACCAGACTTATGTTCAGTACTAGACATTATGTCACATCCTCACCCTTATTTGATATGGTGCCCCTGGAGGTGTTAAATGTCTAATATGAAGGTTTTATATGGCTCTTATGTAACCCGCTCAACCAGGATGGCGTGCTCTAGGCGATCTCTTGAACAGCAGGAAATCTAATTCCTTTTTTATGCTTCTGCATTCCACTCAATGGCCTAATCCCCTTTCATTTTGTGCCATGACAGAACCCAACTGTGAACTGTATGTCTACAATAGAGTTTAAAGAGGATTGCTAGGTATTTTAGTTAATAGGCAACAGTAACAACACTATTAAACATGGAAACTGTTTGTTTCCAAAACTTTATGAAGGTTTAAATCAGAGTATGCCCTCACACGGACTGAGATCGATTCTTACACTGTATGCCTTCTTTTTTTTGTTACTTCATCTGGACATTATTTTTCTGTCAACATGGATGGAAGAGTGCAGTAATAATCTCTATTGTAGCTGAGCTTTCATTGTGATTTAGACAATATATTGTCCTATCTAAGGTGTTCTTCTGTTGCTTTCACATTGAGGTTATTCCACGGCTCCATTGACATCTAAAGCCACCTGCTGGATGTAGGGAGAACTGCACAGATATAGACTGTTGTAGAGTTGCCTTAGTCTCCTGAAGAATTCTTGTATCACATTTTTAGTGCTTAATGGTATTAACCTGGTGCTAAGAGTCTGTGGTCATGCATGAATCTGTCAAAAATATTGGTAGGATGCCTTTTTTGTGATGTGGCAAGATTTGTCTAGTTCTGAAGAAGCCACTGTTGTTAAACATACATAGTTATTTATCACACATCTCTCACTCTCATGTTTTGTCCAGTAATCATCTACATATTACAGAATAAGGTACCGTTCACACAGAATCCTTTTCATGTTTAAAACATGAGATGCAAGGCAGTGAAATGAAAAAAAATAATGCGAGGTCTAAGACGTTATTTATAGATGTAAACTTCTTTTAATGTGCATCTCTAGACCCTGTGGGCTTTTTTCTCATTGCACTACTCTGCATTGTGTTTTTAATCATAAATATGCATCCTGTATGAATGGCACCTAAGTGTGAAAAAATGAAAGCACTGTGCTGATGTTAAACTGTTGTTAAAAGTGCCAGTAATATTGTTTGACTTTCAAAATAGTTCATGTCTTTCAAAACATTCCACAGACTTGATAAGCTTCCACGTTAGGACACCTGATATTGGGTGTCAGATCCATGTGCACTGCTAAAAAGTGGGTTAACCGGCTAGACTCGAGGACAGGAACATTTATGCTAAATATCAATGTTGTATTTGCCAAAAAAACAAAAAACAAAACACTTGTGCAATAATATCATTTTGGACATATTTATTTCCATTAAAGCATCAAACTGAAATGAGAATATGTTGGAAGTTTTCTTTGTTCGTTTTGTGGGCATGTTCCTCTATTTCCTGGGAATGGCATAGCACTCGTATGTGCGGGGCATGCGGCCAAAACTGCAATTTTTAGGTGTTGTATCGAGCTCCTCTGGTGGCACTGTGGCTTTGAAGGTGAAATGCTGAAGGAGGGAAGTGAAGAAGATGAAGAGTTCTATGCGAGCCAGAGCCTCACCAAGACACGCACGCTTGCCTGACGAGAGCAGACAGAAGTCAGTTTAAAAATCTTTTGAAGAAACTTTTCTCCATGTATCAGCCATTTTATTGTCTATGATTTCCCCTTTAAATTAATCAGTGATTTAACATGGTTATTTTTTTCCCAGTATGATTAAAACTGTGAGAAACATAATTCCATGGTGGAAACAAGCCTCCCTGTTTTTATTTTTATGGTCTAATTTTATGTTCTAAACTCTACTAAACTCACCCATGCCAAATACAACAAATGCATCATTTTTCTGAAATCGGCCAACTGAATCCAGGAAGTTCTCTGGATCAAAGCAATTTGGGTTCTTCCACAGTTTCGGGTCTATAAGCACAGAGGATAGCAGAGGGAAAACCATGACCCCCTATAAAAGAAATTTATGTTAGAAATAGACAGACATAAATAATAATTAATAGTAAAATAAAGATAATGTAAATACATAAGAAGAATACCTTAGGAATTATATAACCATTGTATTCAGTGTCGCACATCATCTTGTGTGGGATAGCGATGGGGGCAAGATCCATATACCGTTGAATCTCGTGGATTACAGCATCTGTATACGGCAGGTTCTGTCTGTCCTCTACTGAGGGCCAGCGGTCCTGTCCTACAACCTCATCAATTTCCCGCTGAACACGCTCTGTACAGAACAAGTGAAAGAAAAAAACACTCGGGATTCTGCTTGATGCTTGGAAAGAGAAGACATTTGTTTGATCTCACCTTGAACGTCTGGGTGCTTCATCATCAGAAGCACAGCGTATCTGACGGTGGATGAAGTGGTTTCTGTGCCGGCACTAAACATGTTCCATACTATAGAAACCAAGTTGCCAAAATGATATTCTGTGTCAGGATTGTCTTTCTCCTGCAAAAGAGAATGAAGATGAATATGAAAATGAATGTTATGCATAAAACTGGCTGTTGGGATGTACCAATTCTAAAACTTGTAAATGAAGGAAGTTTTCTGGAATTGTTTTAACTGACATCATGTCATAGTTTCACCACCAGAGGGTGTATGTAAATGTAATGAGGACCGTGGCTTTATAAGAACTGTTTTAAATGCCATTTCTTTTAATTATTTACCTCTTTCATTTTTAACACAAAGGCCTCAATGAAGTCCTGTGGGCATGAGGGATCCAAAGTATTCATCCGAGCCTGTGCCTCATGCTTGCAATACTCTCTGGCCTCTTCTAGGTCTTTAAACAGCTGATGGTGTTTACCGGGAAAGAGACTGACTAACCTAGGGAATACATTATAGATCTGAAAAGAAAATAAAGAAGATCAATGTAAGTCTTCTTTTTTTTTTTTTTATTAATACTTTTATTTAGCAAGGTTGCATTAAACTGATAAAATGTGATAGTAAAGACATTTATAATGTTACAAAAGATGTTACAATTTCTATTTCAAATAAACACTGTTCTTTTGAAATTTCTATTCACTAAAGGATCATGAAAAAAATGGTTTCCACACTAACATTAAGCAGCACACCTGTTTTCAACACTGATAATAAGAAATGCATCAAATCAGCATATTATTGACACTGAAGACTAGAGTAATGACTGATAAAAAAAAAATATATATATATACTGTATATATATATAAAAAAAATCTTAGAGTACAATACCTGTCCAAGAGGGCTACTGAGAATAGTGAAGTAAGTATTCACAGTTCGAAGGAGAGACTTAAACTGTGGATCCTCAAGTTCAAACCTATTCCCAAAGACAATGCTGCAGATCACATTGTTTACAGCATTAAACAGCATGTCCACAGGGCTGAATGCAGAGCCTTTGAGGAGAAAAGTACAGCAAAGAGCTCAAGTTTCTTAAATTTAGTGTTGTAAAAACTCACACCATGTTCTGGAACATGAGATGTGGCTTAGGTCAGGATTTATTCTAATTAGTCATTCACTTAGTTGAATGTGCTGTACAGTATATTAAATCTACACACGGCACATTTGCTTCGTGAACTTATTGTACAAATTGCAAGAACTTATTCAACACATTTTTTCTAAACAATGCAACCACTGTATGTTTGATTTTAGTGTTTTACTGATGCGTCCTGCATCAGATCTTTTTGTGGTTTATGTCTGCAGTTTGTTTCATTTTATAATCTAAATAAAAGATCATATAAAAGTGATTTTACCTTCACATTTTTTAAACATTTCCACAAGATTCTCAGCCTCCTCCCTGACTCGTTCCTCGATGCTCCTGCGGCCCATTCCGAAGTTCTTCAGTGTCATAAGAGTGAACCTGCGCATCTCCTTCCATCGGTATCCACTGGTGGACAGAACACCTGCACACAGAGACAATGTTAACAGCATTTTGGTCTTCAGATAAAAATCTGTTCAAATAAACTGTGTAAAACATAAGGCATCAAGCGACCTCACCGTATCCATAAGTGGACTTCATCAACAGAGGATAGATGGCCCTGCCGCTGAATTCTTCACCAAGACCAATCATAGTATCCTTTAGGGCTTGATATCCAGAAATGATCACCACAGGAGTGTTTGCCAACCAGATGGTGACAACAGAGCCATACTTATTACTCAGCTAAAGTAAGAAGAGTTTTATGGGTTTGATATACGGGACATTTCAATGTTACACTATGTGAATTATTAGAATAACATGTACTTCAAGTTATCTCAGATATTGGTGACTAACAACCTTAAATACAGGTAACATATCATTCTGCTTTAATTTTGTCAATGTATATTAGAGCATTGTTGTTTGAAGGTGTTTTTGTTTGTAGTGCAAGTTCGGATAGGACAATTAGCATTCTTTATGCAAATATAATATATCACTGCACTTAGAAGTGGTATTGCTTAAAAGAACACTCCACTATTTTTGAAAATAGGCTCATTTTCCAACTCCCCTAGAGTTAAACAGTTGAGTTTTACCGTTTTCGAATCCATTCAGCCGATCTCCGGGTCTGGCGGTAGCACTTTTAGCTTAGCTTAGCATAGATCATTGAATCTGATTAGACCGTTAGCATCTCGCTCAAAAATGACCAAAGAGTTTCTATATTTTTCCTATTTAAAACTCGACTCTTCTGTAGTTACATCGTGCACTAAGACCGACGGAAAATGAAAAGCTGCGATTTTCTAGGCTGATATGGTTAGGAACTATACTCTCATTCTGGCGTAATAATCAAGCAACTTTGCTGCCGTACCATGGGTGCAGCAGGCGCAATGATATTACACAGCGCCTGAAAATAGTCCCAGCTAGGTAATTCCAGGCGCTGCATAATATTATTGTGCCTGCTGCACCCATGGTACGGCAGCAAAGTTGCTTGATTATTACCCTGGAATGAGAGTATAGTTCCTAGCCATATCGGCCTAGAAAATCGCAGCTTTTCATTTTCCTTCGGTCTTAGTACACGATGTAACTACAGAAGAGTCAAGTTTTAAATAGGAAAAATATCGAAACTGTTACTTTAAAGTTATTAAGTATTATAGACAGCGATTCAGTGTGTGAAAAAGTAAAGTAAAAACAAATCATCTTTGAGAAACAGCAATACTGGGAACTTCTGTCTGAAGGTAACTGCATCCTGAAACTTCTCTAGAGAGTTCAGAAATCCCAGAATGGTGACCCTCACCTAGTAACGCATGTCTCAAAGACTCATAATAGAACAGATGCAATCTAAACCCAGTGAAAATGCACTGACTCCTTTAAATTCTTCAAAGCCTATGGTACAATCTTAAAAAAACAAGCGTTCATCATTGGCATGTTGCATGGAGAAGCTTTAACATCAAAGGATGGTTATTAGTTAACTTTAAGTTTACCTGAACGGGCAATAATCGCCAATACTCAGACTTATATAACTGAATTATAATATTGAATAGGCCTACTAACCTCTAGGTAATATTTGTAGGCTTCCTTGATATTAAATTGAAATAAATTTCCCAGCAGTGGATTAGGCGCAGGTCCTGGAGGGAGCCGCTCAAAACTGCTCTGCTTTCCTCGAATCTTCCACAGCAATATCAGAGCCAAGACAGCCATGACAACAGACACTACATTCGTCTTCAGTGCCAACAATATATCCATCCTCAGAGTTCACTAGACAGTTCTTCTGAACCGATTCGCAGTAAGGAACCGAAAACAAAGCTTGGCTCTGGGATGATAAAAGTATAGCGGTCTTTGCTAAACAAAAGTGTGCATTTCTAAATTGGGGTTGTTTCTAAATCATGCAATGAAAACAATGCCCCTTACCTGACCCCACCCCCAAACACAACCGGTTGACGTAAGTAAATCAGGTACCCACGGTGGAAAACGCCCCTCCGTTATGCCGAGTTCACACCGCACGATTTTCAAAGTCGTCGGATCGCCGTTGTTTTCACACTGCGTGACTATCTGGGGTAGCATTCAGTTGCTGCTGTGTTCACATTGCACGATGGATCGGCGACAGGGGGTTTCACACTGCATGACTTCACAATAGGAAGAATGGCTGACAGCTCTGTCTGGTCCGCAAACTACGTGTCACAACAAAACACACGCGAGAAGTGATAAGGAAATAACGCGAGAACCCGCGTGC